GTAGTTACAAATCACGAGTGAAAGGGGGGGAGGGGGGGAGAGGAGAGGAAGGAAGGGAAAGGGAGGGGGAGAGGGAGGAGAGGGGAGAGGTAGGAAGGGGGAGGTGGGAGGGGAGGGAGGGGGAGAGGAGAGGAGGGAAGGGGGAGGGGGGGAGGAGGGGAGGGGGAGAGGGAGGGAAGGGGAAGGGAGGGGGAGGGGGGGCAGCAGAGTAGTTGGGAAGAGAAAATTGTAGAAACGTGAGAGTAATTTAGTTATAACTGACAGGGCAGAGCCGTAGCAGGAGTTTCGAAGTCGTTGCTACGCATTCTTACAGTGTCTAGGGAAACAATGTGTGATAGTTAGGCCTAAGAAATTATCTAATTACCCAATACAGTTATAAATGGCAATTCATTTACAGGCGCAGACCGTGCTGATATATAAAGAAAGCATAGTTTAAAATCAAAACAATATATTTACTCTCCCACATCCTTGTTAAGCTTCGTTTCAATAGTTCAATAGTTATAACGACAAAGCATTTGCAAATAGCTAACAAAAAAAACTTAAAACAAAGTATTTACAACCCCTCCTTCCCCCCACTTCTCGTAGTTCACACACACGTTCACACACACACACACACACACACACACACACACACACACACACACACACACACACACACACACACACACACACATACCCACCCATCTCCCCAGTTCACACACACGCACACACACACACAAACACACACACACAAACACACACACACACACACACACACACAAACACACACACACACACGCACACACACACACACACACCCATACACACACACACACCCATACACACAAGCACCTCCACCTCCACCCCCACCTCCACCCCCTCCCCCCACCCCCACCTCCACCCCCACCCCCCACCCCCACCCGCAGCAGCCACCAAAACAGGGTCGCCAGGAACCCCAAAGCCCAGAGACGGCGCGCCAGGAGCAGGAGGCCCGGCGGACAAGGCAGCGACCACCTCCTTCAAGGCGATCGTGGTACCAAGGCGAGGCGCCGGGAAAGCGGCCGCGGTCTCCACTCTTCGCTCTGGTTTCCGTTCTCGTTGTCTCTCTCTGTCTCTCTGTCTCTCTGTCTGTCTCTGTCTCTCTCTCTCTGTCTCTGTCTCTCTCTTCTCTCTCTCTGTGTTTCTCTCTGTCTCTCTCCTTATCTATGTATCTGTGTGTCTGTTTGTATCTGAGTCTAAGCCTGAGTCTAGGTCTGTCTCTCTCTGTCTGTGCCTCTGTCTCTCTCTGTCTGTGCCTCTGTCTCTGTATGTGTGTCTGTTTGTATCTGAGTCTAAGCCTGGATCTGTCTCTGTCTCTCTTTTTTTCTTTTTTTTTTCCCTTTTCTTATCTTTCTATATCATTTTTTTTATCTATTTTTTTTTTGTTTCTTTATTTTTCTTTCACTTGTATTTTTCTTCTTCTTCACCTACCTCTTTTTTTCCTCTTTTTTTTCCTTCCTTTTTTTTTATCTTTCTATTCCTCATTCTTCTTTTTCCTTCACCTTCTTCCTCTTTTTTTTCGTTCTCCCTTCTTCTCCTCTTTTACAATTTTTTTTCTTATCTTCTTTTTTTTTGGACAAATGTTTTTGTTGTGTGTACTGTTATATATCAAGGTGAGGCGGCTACTTGCTCCTGGTCAGTCGGAGGCACCCTGCTGGAGGCGAGGCAGGGGAGGGGGGGTGAAGGAGGGGGGTGAGAGAGGGGGAGGGGGTGTGAAGGGGGTGTGGAGTGGGAGGGGGAGAGAGGGAAGAGGGATGTGGAGGGGGAGGGAGGGAGGAGGGGGGTGAAGGAAGGGGGTGAAAGAGGGAGGGAAGAGAGAAGGGGGAGGGGAGAGAGAAGGGGGGAGGGAGAGGGAGGAAGGGGAGAGGGAGGAGGGGAGAGAGAGGGAGGAGGGGGAGAGGGAGAGAGGTAGGAAGGGAGGAGAGGGAGGATGGGAGAGGGAGGAGGGGAGAGGGAGGAGTGGAGAGAGAAGGGGAGGGGGGAGAGGGAGGAGGGGGGTAGAGGGAGGAGGGGGAGAGGGAGGAGGGAGAGAGAGGGAGGAGGGGAGAGAGAGGGAGGAGGGGGAGAGAGGGAGGAGGGGGAGAGAGAAGGGGGAGGGGGAGAGAGAAGGGGAAGGGGGAGAGGGAGGAGGGGGGAGGGAGAGGGAGGAGGGAGAGAGAGGGAGGAAGAGAAGGGGAGAGAGGGGAGAGGAGGGAGAGAAGAGAGGAGGAGGGGGAGAGAGGGAGGAGGGGGACGAGGAGGAGGGAGAGAGAGGGAGAGGAGGGAGGGGGAGAGAGAAGGAGGAGGGGGAGAGGGAGAAGGAGGGAGGGGGAGAGGGAGAAGGAGGGAGGGGAAGAGGGAGAAGAGGGAGGAGGGAGGAAGAGGATGGAAGACGAAAGACGAAAGACGAAAGAGGGAGAGGAGGGAGGGAGGGGGAGTATGGAGGCAAGAGGGAGAGTGCGAGAGGAAGAGAGAACAAGAGACAGCAGGGGAGAGGGGTGGG